AAAGCTGGGTATCTGACTAAAGGAATCAGGATGTTAACTGGTTAAATTTTGTCTGTGTAAACAAATAAATAATTATTTACAATCTTTGGCAACACAAAGTGGAATTGCATTGATCTCCGGTTCTCTCTCACACATGTGCTCACAAAGGAAAATAAAAGAGAAAAAGAAAAAAAGAAAAACATCATAAATAATTTACATAGAATCGGAAAATTATGGTACAATCTAAATATTAACATCTTTTTCCCCACACCGATGTCTCACTTTGGCAAAACAAGACAAAAACAAAGAACCCTACACAGCCATTACAGTCATTTCATTTAATGAATTCTCCCCCCAACATTCTCACTGGGATTTGGAGATACAATTTGAAACACCAAAAGTATGAACTGCAACAAACTCAAAAGCCTCACAAGGAGGATTTTTAAAAATACTGTTGATATGAACACTATAAAATGTGCAATAAAGCCAGAAAATGTGGATTCTCTCTAATGAATATAGCAATAAAATCTATTCAAAAGGGAATTAAGAACTGAGTCAGCATTTATGTCACTGTGCCTTACAATAATGGCAGAAATATGGTATGGTGCTTTTAGTAAACCCCATGTATGAATAAAATTACACCATGAAGTGTTTGTTTTTGAACAAAGCTCATACAACTTAAACAAACAAAAGTGTTAAACATGTTTATACTATTGTATAGATAAGTAACTGTTGTATCTGCTTAACATAAACACTGGTATGCCTTTAGTATTATTAAAAAAGTTCTATATACAGCAGACATGGGTAACAATATGTAACACTGTAAATTAAGGTAACAGTATGCATATTAAGGTTCCATTTATAATTTATTCATTATTATTCATTTAATCAGGAGATCATGCTTGATTATAACCTCATAAAAAGATGTATTTAAAAATGAATACATTGCTTTTGCAATATCTACATATGGTGATATGTGCTCTAAACAGCTTCTTTTAGCATCATTCGTTAAAGTACTACTAACACATTGCATGGCATGCTTTAAAATAAATTATCAGAGAAGGCAGCTGTATGTGATACCTATAATAAGGATTAACAAAATATGTATAACTGGAACCTTAATTTCATATGTTCCCAAATTTGGTAACACTAATGTTGCCACCTTTTCAAAAACCCAGATCAGGATTTGGGATGTCAAAGTGCTTTTTGCAGCAGAGGTGGGAAAGTTATTCAGGTTCAATTTGTTCCAGATGGTCATAAAATATTTTTATTATGAAAAGCAAGATGGCAGTGGCCAACTAGAAACTGTTTTGAGAAAGCCATGTTGACAGAGGTAATGCCTTTAAGCGCTTATTTGAATTGTTCTTCTTTGTTACACTGGAATTTGAATTCTAGCTCAAGTTTGTCCTGACTGAACCCATACATAAAACATGTATTGTTATTCAAGGCCAACATTACTTTAAACTACAAATATGATGTTTCTACAATCTATAATCTTAAAAGATGTTAGTTAAAGCAGGGGTGCCCATAGGCCATATCTGGTCCATGTCATCTGACCCGTGGGGTTTCCTAAAAGTCTAGAAATATGGCAGCATGGAGCAGTGGCAGCATTAATTGCTGTGGCTCCCAGAGCCACAGCAATTAATGTTACCACCACTCATCCTAACACCAAATATCCAGACCCCTGAGAAGTTCCATGGACCTGATGACGTGGACCTGGCTTTGTGCAGTGGGCTGGATGAGTTGCATGCCACTGACTTAAGGCATCTTTATCCTCTGAAGAACATCTTTTTGCATCAAGCCATCTTCATATATGGCCTTCATCTTATTCTCCAGTGGCTTCTTCATTATTAGGATAGACATTGTTGGTTTGGTCCCTGTGTTATTTTGCTGAAATTAGGCTCAGAGGCTTGGCCGCCTTCAGGGCGTAATGTAAGGCTTATGTGGTTAGTCAGACTTTTTGGCTGAATATCTGTATGGCAATGAAGCTGGATTAGCTGGGATATGATGA